TGTGTACGAAATGTTTAAATTAAGGTGGGTATCAAGTGCACCAGATCACTAATTACCAGCGCCAGCTAAGCCGACCCGCCACTCAGTTGGTCAGCACTGGCCAGGCCAGGCCAGTCCAGTCCAGTTCAGTCCCGACCCATTGAGCGTGTGATCGAAGCGCCTCTAGAGTCGGCCAGCAATCGCCCTGAGGCCGGCAAAGGCTTTAAGTTTGTTTTTCCTCAGCATCGAGGGAAATCGAAATCAATAAAGATGCACAGATTGCACGAGTCTTGGCTGTGATTTGCTTAAAGAAGCCTTTAAATGGGTTAATGTCGGCATCCTTGGACGTCAGTGCCAGAAATGCGAATTTGAACAATAAGCAGTTACACGTCACTCGATAAGGACTGCGGATAACTGCTAGGGTAGAATCGTATTACTTATTACTACTTAATATTAATTGACGTTTAAGAGGTTTTTATTGCAGAGCTCAAGAAAATTCTCAGATGCAACGTCACATTCGATTCAGTGATGGCTTTAACAAAATTGAAATGTTTCCCGATTAAGCTCTTTACTTTAAAAAGCAACTAAACTTAAGGGACCAGAGCTTACAGTTCGCAAAGGTGATGATGTGATCAAAGAAATTATGTTAGTTTGTTCACTTTGTTCAAGTTGCCAAAACTTTAAAAGAAAACACACACACATCTTTAAACTATACTTGTATATAAAAGCTTATCAATATTCCCGCCTTCTAGCTCAATACACTTTATCCCACGAGTGTTGACTTAAGTCCCTATTCTTAAAGTTTCGAAAAGGTAGTAATTGCTGGAAACCAAAGGCAGTTGTTATATTGTATAAGAAACTGATCTGATTTAAGTCAACAGCTCCGCAACATATTACCCAGAAATCGAAACCTAATAATACCCTATTATGATGGATTTAAATTGTATTCACATATTCCAAACGACATGCTCATTGATTGAGATGTGGAGTCCTTGGGCACCTTGCTTCTGCTTGCCTGAAATGTGCACAAATTGTAAAATATTTACTGTATTGTTGTATTTGCTTTGAACAACATGAAACAGAAATACAAAAGTGTCCAACATAAAATAGGCCATGATTTTAAGAGATTAATCAGTTTCCATATCATGAAAATATAACATTTTTCGATGATTATGATTTCCAAAAAATGTTCTTTAAGATAGAAACTCGTTTGATTATTTAATTTCTTTCATCTCTTATACTTATAGGGGGTATGAACTCCTTTCTATACTAATGTTTTCATTAAATATCTCATTAAATTAGTTTCATTCAAACACTCGTATGCTTTGCAATTCATTTTATTTATAAACAGTTCCCATTTTCAGATTTAGAGCAAACCTTTAATTATTTGTCAATTAGCCCATTTTATAGGCATTCAGAGTATAATTAATAATTAATTTCATTTATCTAATAAATCGTGAATAGGGAACCGACTGGGTTTAAACTCTCATGCCCTTAAATATTAAATGAATTTTCAAAAGAATCTTCTTAAATATGAAAGCAAACTTTAGTCAGTCGTTGTACAAGAAGTGTTGAAATGTTGAGGTTTATTTCCTAGAATTATAAAACTGCCATTTAGCTGACTATCGAGCTACCACTAATGCACGAAGCCGATAGCAGTCTGGTTAATATTGGTTAATATTGACTCGCATAATAAAGTACAAGTATTATGCAAATATTTGCATAATTTCTTATTTAAACATGTTTTCATTAAAAGGTGTCAATAACTATTTTTTTTTTCGTTGTCAATTTCAAATGCAAATTTTTGCTTGATGCATTGTAAAAGGAAAAATTAAAAACTCAGCTGGCAATTATTTAATTTAATAAACATGTTCCTATGACTGGCCGCACTTACGTACTATATTCATAGATTTTTTTTTTTTGCATGCATGCATTAATTTAAAAGCTCGACAGCGACCAGCATTGGCATTAGATAAGAAAACAGCCAGGTGCTGTCTATCCGATGTCCAGTAGGTATTGCACTATTTTTAAAGATGTGCTCAACAGACACGGCACGTTGTGGTCGTAAATGGCCAGACGGCGTCACCAGCTCTATTAATGATGCATCTTTCATACTAATAACTACAACAATAAAGCATATTTAAATGCATTTCGACTGTGGTCCATAGATGCACACGTCGCCAAGTGTTCGATTATGGCGCCAACACTGTATGTAACCCGATCGGGCCAACATCGATCGTTGATCGTCCGCCCGCTTGTCTGCTCGTCTCCCCACAATGGATATTGGCGCCTGCTTTTTGACAGTCAATAAAAATTTGAAATGTTATACTTTTGGTCTATTTTTATGTTAAGCGATTGACTCGAGTCGATTTTATTTCGCCCTTTTGTTTCTTTTGTTGCTTTTTCTTGTTCTGTTGTGTTGTGTTGCTGTTGTTGTTTTCACCATGTCTCGATAATTTATTAGATGCATAAATGGCTTTTTGATTGGCCTAGGAGATTGCGTTAGCTGGCGATCCAAATGAACCACTTTTTCAGTTTGACAGCCGCGGCTGGGCGCACAAAACAAAAGACTTGGGCGACGAACTCGACGAGTGCGCAGGTTTTGTTATTGTGTTTTATTCCTATTTTACTACGACTGTTTAATAAACTATAAAAATAAATTTAGAAACAATGACGACAAAAAACACATTGGAATGTGATCGCCAGGCAGTTAAACGCACAATGGCGTGCGTTTGCTCAGTGCCCCGCACACCCTTCATGCCCTCCAACCCCCCAACATCTACTCTCATGCATATTGATGTGTATAGTACGAGTATTCGTATTGTTGCCCCCTGGTTCAAGCTCACTGTTGTTTATCGCCGCCCGTTAAAGCGTCAAACTTTTGACGTCGCGTCGCCACAATTTACAATATTCGAGTATAAACGATATATTTGCATCCCAGTAAAGTGCTCATTTATCCTGCATAGTTTTTTGGGCCTTGGTGCCCGCACCAACACACACACACACACACACCCCACCCCGTCCATATATCATCTACACTCCGCCCGGCTCCACTTTACAGGGCTGACCATAAACCAAGTCGAAGCTGCCCCATCGCCGCCTAATTAAGTGATTAAAATTCTGGCCGTCAACGCGACGTATGACTTTTGTATGTGTTAATATAAAGTTTATTATTTGAAGCAGCACGTGGTCGACGTACAGGCTTTTGGGTGTACCCAACATCAAAGTAGCCCATATAAGACATAGGCCTATGTAATTCTCTTCGAGCAGCAGCAACACCCATCATGACCATAGCATATCAAATAGGCCTCGCGGCAAACATTTTTGAGCGTAACATTTGTGGCATTTTTAATTTACAACAATGCAATACACAGACGACACTTAACGTTTCTATATCGGTTTTATTATCGGCCATCGACGGTCCGATCGAGTTGGTCTGTGCAACAAATGTAAGCTACTTTGACGAATTTATGCGAGAGCGTTGACAGACCACGCCCCATTATTGGCCCGTGGTCACGCGATTTGATTGATTGTGTGAGGCTAGAAGTGAGTCACGATCAGAGGAACAATACTCGTATATACTTATATTAATAGAAGAAGCTTTAAGAGTTGTGATTTTATGCCTAATCTGCATATTGCATGAATAAGCTAACTAAAATAGAATGGCTGCTAACACAAATTCTATATGAATAGGCGAGATAACTCAATTAAACGGAAGTATAGGATTTAATTGCTGAGGGCCAGCTCATTCGACTGCTCTTTTTAGTCAACTAAGTGATGGTTTTGTTATCACTTTATGGTTGTTTATCAATTATTATCTAAAATTTAAGAGTTCTTGCGGCGTAAATATTATATAAAAACCCAAAAATATTTGAATAATCAATAATCTATTACGCGGGCTAATGCGTTCAATGAATTTTCTTTACTTTCAAATTATGAAACCAATTGAGGCTTTTCTTGAATGTAAATGATTTAATCGCTAATCAGTAGCTGAAGTAAAGTTCATAAGTTAGTTTAATTTAAATGGCAGCCTAAAAACCCTGATCACATAAAAAGTATAATTATAATAGGTCATTTATTTTGATCGACCTTATTTCAGAATTGAAATCTAAGCTGATAAGAGCTGTTACAGGTACGAGTACGATTACTTCGTTTACTTTAACGAGGAAATACACTTGGAACTATGGAAGAGAAATTTCTTTTCATCTGATGTACTTTGATCACAAATCGGAGATCAAAGATCATGCACATAAGTAGTGTGATATTTTTATTTGATCATTTAAGTAACACCCAAGTATTTCCTACAATGTATAAACAAATACAACATTGACAGGAATAAATTATAAATGCATTAAATGAATTTTTATTGAAATACTCTTGAATGTTTTTTTTTCTGAAAAAAAAAAACAACTTTTTTTCAGATGGAAACTCCTTTCCCTTTAATGAATGTTAAAAGATCTCGTATTTTTTGTAATAATTGTATTTTATTTTTGTATTTGTCGTATCCAATATCTAAGACAATTTAAAACTTAAAACTAAAATACAGTTAACTTAGAATTTTGTTCTAAAACTAAACAAATTATTTATCTGTATGTACAATGAGGCTTTTGGTGGGGCGGGGAATGTTTTACAATACAATTTCGAATGAGAGAAAACTTCAAACATGCGCAAAAATATTTACAATTAGCGACTACTACTGCTACTTCTACTTAGCTAAGCAAAACTGCATTTACGTGTGTGATATTTTGTGTGTGTGTTTTTTTTGTGGGGTGTGTACGTGTGTGTGTGTGTGTGTTTGTGGTGTAAAAATAATTTTTGGATTTGAGCTCAATAGTGTAAACTAGCTATCTCCCTCTAGCTCTGGGCGCAATTCAAGTGGCCTAACAACAAACCTGTCCGCACATGAATGTGTGTGAGTGTGTGTGTGTGTGAAAAATTTACATTTAAACAGTAAAAAAAAACTAAAGAAAACAACAACAAGGGCGAGCGTTAGAGCTCCTCCCACAACTGGAGACGGCGCCTCAGACACACACAAAGATGCCGCGCATGGCGCTCGCCGCATTGTGGGCCACGGCGAAGCCGCTGCGGGCAGGCCCGAACGGACTGGCGCTGGCCTCGCCAATGGCGTTCAGTTTTTGCCGCTTGACAGCCTCGTGCTCGGACGAAGACACCGAGGAGGAGCAGGTGGAGTTGGACTCCGCCTCAAGCTGATAAAACTTGCGGCGACCATCGCTGCGCGCCTCCTGGTCGTCCAAGCTGGAGGCATCGCTGTCGTTGAAACTGTGCACGGAACTGCGCGAAGTCTTCATGCTCAGGTCCATAGGACAGTCCTGAGCCAGTGCAGCAGCAGCAGCGGCAGCGGCGGCGGGTGTGGGCGTGGACGCCGCTGTCTCAGCGCTGATCGAGCAGACAGAGACGGGCGACAGAGACTGCATCTTAGCGGCAAAGGAGAGCGGGGTGCTATTGGGCTGTGGCTGTGGCTGTGGCTGTGGCGACACACTGTGCAGCGGACTGTTGTGCACGGATTGCTGTTGCTGGTGCTGCTGTTGAGGGGGCGTGGCACGTATGGCAATGGGATTGTGTATGGTGTGGCTGGGTGTTAGCTGAGCCGGCGATTGGCTGTGGGAATGGGAGGAGTGCACGGACTGGACTTCCTCGTCGCCACCCAAGCACACCTCGATGGGTGTTTGACGGGCCGAGGAGGGCGCACGAGCAGGTGGCGTGAAACGCTGGGACTCCGCTGAGGCAGCCGAATCCACGGACTGGCGATGTTTATACATCTCCTGACGATAGGCGGCATCCGCAGCCGCAGCCGCTGCGCTCGAATGATAGCCCGGGAAGAGTAGATGTGGCGGCAGCTGGAAGGCGGATTGTGGCGCAGCAGCCATGCTGGGCAGCGAGTTCATCATGCTGAAGAAGGGTAAGGCAGCGGCGGCGGCAGCATCGGCTGGATGTCTGGCGAACGGCTCGGGCAAATAGCTCGGATATCCCAGTAGAGACATGTGTGGATGACGCTGTTGTTGTTGCTGGAGATGAGCAGCTGCCGCAGCGGCCATATCGCCAAAACCACCACCACCCAGTGGTGAGACCGCTGTAGGGGAATTACCATCGCCGCCATTCATCTTGCCCGCCGCCTCCACACTCTGCTGATGCTTTTCCTGCAGCAAACAATGGATCTTGAACCAATTGGAGCGACGGCCATACCGCGAGCCACCCTTGGACATGCCCACAGTGTAGCATTTGCGTAGACGGCAGGCCTTGCAGGTGGTGCGGTTCTTCTTGTCAATGATGCATTTGCCATTGTTCTTGCACTCGCTAATCGAGCTGAGATTGTTGTAGGAGCGGCCGAAGAAGGACTGCAAGGAAAGCGAGAGAGAAATAATGGCTTTAGTCAACGAGTCAATGGGTTCGCATACATATATAGTCGGAAGGAAGGCAAAGATCAGACTTCGTTCGAACGATATATATCAACGATGTGGTGTTGTGGTGCTCTCGATCTTGATCAGGAGCTCAGCTTACCTTGCAACCCTCGCAGGTGAAGGCACCAAAGTGAAAGCCAGCCGCTGGCTCACCGCACACTTTGCACGTTTGATTCATCTGCAAATCGAAGAGAAAGTGTTGATTAGTAAAGGTTAAGGCTTTATCCATTTTCCGTATTCCAAGTTGCGAGTGCATGCACGTCTGTGTATTTGTGAGTGTGTGTGTATGTATTCCAATTTCTCAGACACTAACCAAATTGAACACCATTCTGGCTCGTGTGTTCCTTCACAAATTCTATTCTTCCGATCTATATAGTTTTTTTTTTAAATATTTCCTCTTGCTGGTTGCCGGTCTGTTCGTTTGCTGAGTTCTCAAGCAACTGATGAGCTGACTGTCTTGTTCATTGCATTTATACCCAACAAATAGTTAGAACTCTGCTGCATTTTTTATGGCAGGCCATTGGGAAAAAAAAACTAAATCTGCCGGATTATGCAACCCTATGCGTTCATTTTCATTTGTTTATTTTTTTGCGCTCACCCATGGGTCATAAACTACTCCTCGCCCTTTAAGGCACTTTCATTGTGGCAGGTAAGGGCTAGTTTTTTTACAGGCTCGCCTGCGAACTGTTTAATGACTTTCTAAAAAATGCAACAGCAACCTTGACGCATCGGTCATAAAAATGCCCAATTTTTGGCAATTTTTGTCACATTTGCCACTCGGCGAAATTTGCAAAAAAAAAAATAGATATATATACACATAGTTGACCTAACAATGAGCTGCATTTTTTCACAGGAAACTGTAAAAAATCAAAGTAGTGCAGGGCTCATAAAAATTGCCGCCGGCTTTGAGAGCAAAACATTGAATTGACTTTGGAAACTTACCTTGGGTTATGTTTTCTTTTCCTGCTGTTGATTTTTTTTTGTATCGTAGCTGTTGTTACGGCTGTTGCTGATTTTTAACACAAGCAATTTATTTTTAGGCGCACGTGTTTGTTTATAGTTTTTGGCACAACTTTTAATAAGTTTTTTGTTTTAGTAAATTTATACACTCGGAAATACAAGTATTCACTTGAACTGCGTCACGGGCAGTCGTCTCTCATAGAACACATGAATAAATGCACGGCTTTGCATGCAGATTGAAAATATTTTCCGCTTCTCTACTGGTTTTTCGTTAGTTGTTTGCTTCTTGAGGCAGCGCGCTCTTAACACACGATATGTAGCTTACACTTCGGGTACTAGCAGACGACTGATTTCTTACTCAAACTCGTGCCAGACAAGAAGCATTTCTGTGTCGCAGTCTCTCGTTTGGTTGGCTCTGGCCTATGTACTCCAACAACACGCACACCACTGCAATTTCCAGTTTCGAGCTGCGATCCGTGAGTTTCGTGTTTCGAGTTTCGAGTTTCCACTCTTGAGCCGGGGTCTCTGCTAAATCACAGATCCGCTTATCGTTCATCGTCAACCACCACTCATTGAGCGCAAGAGACACTCAATACGTTGCGCCGCTCTCACAACTTACCTGTACAGTGTGAGCGGCTGTTAATGAACTGTTAGCTGGCTGTTAAGCGACGCCGCTGAGAAAATTTCAATGGCGGAAGGGGTAGAACAGGGGGATTAGCAATGATCGCTCCGATCAGGTACTCTTTGGGGCAGCGTGGGGGCTCTGACTCGCTCAATTTACTATACATTGCTCTGATATTATTCGTTATTTCGTCGTTACTTATTAAGGGCGGCTTGACTTCATTTTTAACAGTTGCTCATTTTATATTTTGCATGGGCGGGGCCTCAATGTGAATGGATCGTTCACAGTCGTACAATGAACTGAGCGAATTGCGAAGAGGAAGCAATGGAAACTAATAGAGCTTGCGACAAAATGGTTGCTGTGTGCGCTATCATTTAATTAAATAAATAAATAATTAATAGACAAACTACTTTTTGCAGGTTTTGAATTAATTTCCTCAAAATTAACAATAACATAGTTTGTTAGTTATCGGAAGTACATAATAATTGGTAAGCCAAAAAATTATTATCTACAAGTATGTACAACAGTGCTTTATGTTGACATTAGAAACATAAGATTATTGCGGCGATTTGTTATGATTTATGGAGTTCATATATGTTAACGACTTTTACATTTATAAATAATATATTGAGCTTCTTAAATTCAAAAAATTAAAATTTTTTATTTTACAGTTTCGAAACAAAAGTAAAAAGTGTTTTGACGATTCCATATATATTTACATAGGTTTTTGAAAGAATTATTAAAGTTTTTAAAAGCAGGTTTTTCAGCATAATGTATTACAAAAAGTAAAACTTAATATTACTTCCAGTAATACAAAAACTAACGTTGCTTCTTGCGTATGTAAAAGTAAAGGAAATCACTTAGAGTTCTGGGAATTCCGCATAATATAGGTTAGCTTCGGTTCTAGACAGTTCCTACTGCTGCAACTTTCTCTAACCATAAACGATATTGCATCAACCCAACGTCAACGCGAATTCCGTGTAAAAACGATGCCAAAACAAAGGCTTGTAAAAAAGTCAAAGTATGTAGAACCAAGCCAGGTCTCTCTGGAACCTTTAACGGTTTCGGTTGTGCGACCTTCCCGCCTTTCTTTCTAATCGATTCAATTTAACTGACTTTGCTCGTTTTTTCTGCACACAACAAATAAATAGAAAAAACACTCCGCAAAAACGCGAGAGAACATTTTTCGCGAATTTCCGCAGTTGTTAGAGCCCAATGGGTAATTTTCAGCATAATTAGTTAGCTCGAAAGGAAAGCATGACAAAAAACACAAAAAATAAGGACATGACTTTTAATCCGGTTTAATCCCCGGCTTAAGTTTTTTGCGTGGCTGAAAAGAAAAAAGCAATTCGCGGCAGCCGCGACGAGTTGAGCGCACGGCAAGAAGAAGTGCCAGCGGCTGCGGCATCGGCATCGGCAGCGGGCAGGCTCATCATAATTATGATCCTAGGATAATCTGCAGCTTAGGTATGCTGATCCCGCGATTAGGTAACGAAATCGCGAGCTTAGGTAGCCACAAGAAACGAGCTCTAAAAAATGAGAAAAAAGACGAGCCGTGCGACTGTGTCCGGCTCCGAGTCCGGACCCTGGTCCGTTCATCATCAGACGTGTCGTAAAGTCAACGGGCGATCGTAAAAAGTCGAGCAACAGTAACCCGCGCTAACCGTTGCCGTGCAGAAAAAGCAGATCACGCGACAACTACGAGGAGGACGACGATGCCGGCACGCACATACATTTTTTAAGCGGAAAAGGGATAAGCATTCCATCGTCCTTACAGGCTTTGCTGACTTTTTTGCGCGCCCACTCAACATCGCGGCATATGTTTTGAATCTCGGACCTCGGGCCGTCATAAAAAAGTCAATTGTCTATGTGCGTTACGTAAAAAACGAAGAGAAATTTCCAGGAAATGCGGCACGTTGCCAACTCAAGGACATGCCACAGAGCCTGACAGATCTTTTTTTGTGCACAGCGATCCCTTAAAAAGATGCGAAGATAGCGAAAAAATTGCACGCTAAAAAACTGCACGCGTTTCTGGTTTGACTGACTTCTTGACTTTCGGTAAAAAAGTCAACTTTTTAATTGCCATGACCATAAAAACGGTAAAAAAAATAAAAATACAAATACAAATGCCAGCTACTAAATGTGCAGCCAGAAATAAAGAAAAAAATATACACCATACGAGTAAGTTACCTGCAACGTCCCAGCTCTAGAGTCAGAAAGTCAACTTGTTTGCATATTGTTTGATTGCATCATTTCCCACTTCATATCAGCGTCTAATATCACTTCCCAAATGTCCATATAACCAGCACATATCAATCACTTGACATGACTTGGCTTGACTTGACTTAGCTTAACTCAGCTTGACTTAGCTCGTGTCCGCTCGTGTAGCTCGAGCGATTTGCATATTTTTGATTTAACAGCTCGCCAAGCTCGTCGGCAGATCATCAAACCGGAGTCTCACATGCAAATAAATGCGCTTTAAATAAATACAAATAATGTAGGCATCTCTACTAGCTATTATAAGTGAAGATTTGTATAGTTATAAGCTAATAATGTCCGATCTTATTTTATTCATTGCAATACGTTTTTTATTTATGGTGTAATATAGCTTCTAAGTTCGGAGAGGTTTTTTCTTTTAATTTTATTTTATTTTTTAACTTTTGCTTAAAATCTAACTATCTTTCTACATTACTCTCAGCAGAACTTTCAAAGAAATCTCTGACCATATACGTCTACGAGTTGAGGCAAAGATTTTCTCCCTTCGGGTTGAAGATTTTTCTCATTACTATTACTTTTTCCTCCAAAGGCAATAAATAGAACAAGTTTTTCACTTCTTACTTGTATTATTTTTAGTTTGTTATGTCTAATAATGTCTCTGAACGTATTTGGTTATAAAACTTCCCCTGACGCCTTACACTATTGTTCTATATTATTGTACAATTCACGTACAAGGATTAAATGAATAACACCTATAATTATATTATTGGTATATTTTTTAATGTTTTCATTAATAATATCTTAATATTTTTTTACCCTTTTGATTGCATTTGTTTCGAGATCGGCTTCAAGATGTTTTCTGTTCTGTTATTCTTAACTTACAATTTATATTCTCAAGTCTGAAGAATTGTATCCAGCTTTTGACTTTTCCACTTGCTTAAAGAATAGTAACGAGACCTCAAATTAACTTTTAATATACTTATTATATTGCTATATTGATTGCTATGTTATTAATCTTAAATATACATAGCCATCGGACAATTTGCGATGGGACGAACCACTATTATGAGTTGTTGTTTGATTTTATTGTTATATTCCATGTATTTCTGTACAGTCCCACATCACTCTTTAATCTCAAATATATTTAAATTTGTCTGTATGGAGCCGAGCGAAGATATAAGATTCAAAAATTTAAATAAAATCGGAATTAAACAGCGAATTAGAGTATATGGCATTCGTCGGTTTTAATGGGTAGCAATAAAGATACCGCCTATATTTTCGTTTTTCTAAATCATTGCCGTTTTGTTCGCGCTCATTGTTATTGTAATTAAGTGAGAAAATTTACATTTTCGACGTGCCAACATTTATTCCAAATATAGTATATGTGCTGGCTATACTATCTACTTGTATGTCTGCAGGTATTGTTGGTCGAAAAGATTGGATTAGAGACTTAATACATTGTTTTTATGTATGTTTGTGTTATATGCGCTGCAGATACAGTTAAAGTTTTGTTAACTCTAATGGATTTTGCAAAGATTATTCGATAGCATGTTCAATAAAGAAGAAGCATTGAGGCTTTTATTTTTTGGCAACTTTCCAGCTCGACAAATTGCTCCTCATTTGTTTTGTACATGCACAAAGAGAAATGACAAATGAAATGAAACCAGTTTTATTTCTTGACAATTTCTAAAGCTATTCTAAAGCCACTATTAATCATTGATTTGTCAATTCAGCAACAAAACCAAAACAGCAAAAAAATAGAAGACAAAAAGACTGTTTTATGTTTAATTGTGCCAGCGATGTCATAATTACGTAAAGATGTTGTATTCGATAAACTCGTTCCGTGCGTCTGCTTCTATTGTTGAATCCACGGACTTAGGAACACATATGAGAACCCTACTTTATTCTTATCATTATATCATTGACGCATACAATTAATATGTTATTAGAATTATGAAATTATGCAAATGAAAATATACAAGTATGTACGAGAATGTGCGAAGCTATTATTATTGATACACGATAGCACTCCCTGACATCCGATTGTTTGCTTTGTTTTGTCTTTTCTGTGTGTGTTTTTAAAGGGGTTGAGGGGTTGTAGGTAAGACTTTTTGCAAATATTAATATGAAATTTATAATCGTCCATGACAACATAAATAATAATTACGCTACGATTATGACATTGCGTTTGTCAAAAATATGCTTTGGGTTGAGAAATTTGCATAAATTAGAAGACAAGACCGAACCGAGCAAAATGTATTTAAATCCTTTCGGATGAATCGATTACTTTGATCGCATTGGCTAATGGAGTTTCCGCTGATTTGGCTCAGACAGCGATCGCAAACTTCCCACGGATCAGATCAGATGACCAGCAACTAAGTATAATGTCAAATATTCAGCCGCCACATGTTAAAGATTACAGCAAGTACTCGTACACGTACATATGTCGACGAGT